AAACCTAGATAAGATAAATCCCGCTAGAGTACGAATCCCATCCCAGTTGTATTGCTGTCATTAGAGTCTCAAACAGTCGTTTTCCAGTTTTTCGACTTTCACCTAATAACGTTTAAGAAATTCATAATAAGAAAAGTTCTACTTCCACAATCTTGTGCCAGCATTCAACCTGACATTGGCCAGTTGTTGGAGATACAACCAAAGGCATTTGCAAGGTAAAGGAACCTTGGAGTTCTCAGTAGTGTAACTTCAGCTAATGCAATGCCTACCTCAGTTATAAATTCCCAAGTAGTCTTGATACTTCGCTTGATTTGTCACGACGAAAGGGTCTACGAGGAAATTATACTTTGTAAGACAAGTTTAAGTATGAAAGTCAACTGCATTATAACAGGACTTGTACAAAACTTACTTAAAGCAATAATCACCCTTCCACCCAGAAAAATTAAATCTATGGGATTTTTCCCTTCCTTCAGCTTTTAGTTTCACTCTTCATACGTCAATAAAATCAACTGACGTAAGTGCTTTCAAAAATAGCTCTCAAGAAATGCAGCCATCCAGGAAAATTTGAAAACTAATGAAGCATATGAGAGGGTGCCAATGGGGTATAGCTGTAGTCAGCTAAAAATATGCTACTTAATCAGTAAACAGCTAAAAAAACACTAGTTTGTCAGTAAGCAGCAAAAAAAAAAAACGTTTAGTGGCATGGTTGCGAGTCCCGCAGACGTTAAAATCGTTTATAGGGTGGCCGGTGTTTCCAAATCAATCACTCTCCTAAGACTCCCAAGTTCTCTCTCATCTTTCCAGTACGCAATGCACTGCAGGTTTGCAACTTTAACATATCATCAAATCAGTCTGAAAAGAACTTCATTTCTTACAAATCCAGCACAACGGCGACACCTTAATTTGTCTTCCATGGTTGAACCTGGAAGAAAGCACCACTCTCCTCTTCATCCTCTTCCTTTGAATAAAATTCTTGAACGAAAGCGCTCGATAACATCTGAATTTCTGTACACAGTCATCGTCCCGCTTTTCATAACTAAATTCTCTTATCTAATTGGCTATCGGCAGCCCTGATTTCAGCATTAATGTAATAGGAAAGTACGTGTCACGCGTAAGTAAGAAAAATGCATTATGCGGCATCGCACGAGTGCTCCTGAATGGGTTCAAGGTAAGGCAAGGGAATCGGTAATAAAACTTCTTGTCCAATTAACAATCTGCAATTATACTTGTCAGGGGATTAAACAAATCGGATTCTCGCTTCACGGTCGTGCGTCCGATTTTGTTTTACCGCTCATACGATTACAGGCGGACTTAGGCTTCATTTAGTCCCAGTAGGCCGGATTAAAGACAGTACACACACTTATTTGCAAGAACACGCAAGCAAAGAGGTGGGACACTGAGACAAAAAACCATTTTACAGTTATGAGCTTATAATGACCTAGTCTTCACCTTAAGGATAACCACAAGGTGATTTACATACACAAGAAAGCAGAAAGGATTGTATCAAAACAAGGTTCCACCTTTAACCGTGAAATGGTTGTCTGTCCCTTTTGAATTGAGAGACACAATCGCAGGCAGTTCGAACGCAGGCTCAACCACAGAACGTCGCAGCAAAAAGCAAGTCGCATACATGCATACGTCAGTGAACAGACTAAAGTATCTATCTCACCATATCGTCTTTTATTTCAGAAAGTCTTCTTTTGTTTGAACAATTTCTAACTTTTTGGGTCTACAAAAAATTACCTGTTTTTATACGCTTGTCAGTTAATATTTTGTAATTTATACGCTTACGATAGTGAAAAAGGCCTTTATACGTTAAGCATTTAACCCCACTGACACCCTCATATGATGGGTCACATTAAATCTAACATACAGTTATTAATATTTCTATAAACGAAATAGCAAAAAGCTCACAAACAGATCTAAGAAAACAGAGGCTGAAGAGGGAGGAGGAAGTTGGTCTGAGACTTCCTGTTTTTCTCCGAATACTGCCGGATATGCCACGTGATGAGTGACCTTCTAACGAGGTTGACGTCTCAGCTGTCATATGCCCTACCCCTGGGAGTTGCTTGACAACCGGACTGGTGACAAATTTCTGTCGTAATATTGCTAAAGAAGGTTTTCCCTTAAGCTCCTCCCAATTTTTTGTATCCGCTATAATTTTAAAAGGTATTATGATTTTCGCATTACATGAGATTGAGGCAGCTTGCCGCATTCAATCCTCTACTAATCCCATGGTATCAAATCAAATCACACACCCCTCCCTCCCCCACGTACTAAGCAGTAAGTAAACAGCTCCGGGGTTGTCTACTCCGCAGTTTCTTGGCAGATAAATGTAACCCCAAATTACTGAAGGATTCCACTAGTTGTCAATAAATGTCGCCATCGTCCAAACTTGCACTGTGTTTTTAACGTTCAGCGTAAGGAGGAAGGAAAAATCTGGTTTTGTGCTGGCTGAAGTGCACTGCCTACGAGTCACGAAAATCACGGTCCCATGTTTTCTTTCTGTTAAGGAATTTTTTAATTCTCACCCCTTTCAGTCTCGGATGTTCTTGTTCGCCCAGAGATTTGCTACTGCGTCGGTACATCTTTAATAACTGAATGTCATTTATAGTATAAACATGAAGGTTTTCTTTTAGATAATGAAAAGCCCCCGGTGGGGTACTCCCTATAATGGCCTTTAAGGGCAGGCTCCGCCTGAAGGGGTACCATTTTCAGGCTTCAGATATATGAGAGGGGAGGGATTTCACTAGTTGAAGTATCTGAAAGGGTAGAGAAATTTGTCATTTCGGTCTGTATACAAAAAGGCCCAAAAGGGCTCTGAGATGCATTTTATGGCTGTGAAAAAGTGTAGAACACGTTCTGATCTGATTAATTCATATTTTAAAGATTTTATTTTAAGCAATATTTAGTCAGCGGTTTGAATGGGGCCCTCAAGAAAAAGGAGAGAAAAAAACACTCAAGACAAATAAAGATAAAAAAGAATGCTTCAACAACGTATAATAAAAAGTAGCGGAGGCTCAATTTGGCTTAGATCTAAAGTGCCTTTTTAGGCCAGAAGCAAACTTATAAGTTAAAACTTATAATATTAATATATTACATGTTTGCTCCTCAGGTCCAGAGGAATCGTGTTCCAGATCTTGGCTCCGCCGAACTTGAAGGAACCCTGGTACTTTGTTGTCCTAGGTAGCGGCGGCCAAATTTCTATTGCGCGTGTTGTTTGAATGTAAATCGCGCGAGTGGCTAAATTCGTTTAGTAAATATGCTGGAGCCAGCCCATGGAGGCCCTTAAACACTAGCATGTACTTTAGATAGTCCCGGCAGGACTGGAGCGTAGGCCAACCAAACGTGCGAGATATCTGCGATTGTGAAACTGCATGTGTAGCCTTCAGTAATACTAGCGGCACTCCTTTGCAGCTTATCTAAGTACTCTCGGTTAGCCTTACCGCATGAGTCCCATACGATGAGACAAGAAACCTAGCACAGCTGGAAACGAACACCTTTCAGGACTGTGCGTTCAAACTTTTCAACTCCCTACATGCCCCAATCAAATCTTGTACAAAATTTTAGGTCTTTGTCTGACCATACCCACGATATTTTAAAAGAGCGAAGTAAAAATTGTAGTTATGTAATAGTTCTAAATACAGTTTTTATCCACAGTTAGGAAATTGGTTTGTTTGTTAGTTGGTTTTTTTTTACCACGAACATTTTCTGCTCCTTATTTATTAGCGTATTTTTTTCTAGCTGAAAATATACTATATATTTTATATTTTGTTAGCAGATGTAGAGCCATTTTTTATGGAAATGCTGTTAATAAACAATTATTATTACTATTATTATTACTATTAATAGCAATCCTACGCCCATCAAAACACGAATAGATGAAAAGACTACATTTTAGTGATTTAACCTCTAGTAACTGAACACTCAGGTAATTTGACTTCAGTATTGGAATGGTAGACTGCAAACAGTCTCTCTTTTTCTTTAGATTTAGTGAGAACAATGCACGCGCGCGGGAGCGGCAAAGCCGCGAGACGCGTGAAACGAGGGCGGCAGCCTCTCCCGTCTCGCGCCATCAGTCACACGCGTGGCCATTTGCGCGCCTAGCGTTTTGTTCGACGGACTACAGAAAAACGAGAGACTGCTCGTAGTCTATTAGAATGGAGACCTTTCTAGACACTAATAAACTTACACCAATCTGCCAAAAGAATTAAAAAATACAACTGTGTAACTAATAAAACAGTAAAGAACTACATTAGATTGCCAGTAGACACGTCTAAAGTGTCTTTGTCATATATGGTATAACAATGAAAAGAGCCGAAATTGACTACTGATTCCTGATATTTTTCAGGTGACTATGAAACAAGTTTCAAGTGCACACGACTGGTCGTAGAATAAGCTACGAAACGTACACTCTAATTTTCAGACTACAAAAAGCTTGTGTTTGCATTCTTGGGAGGAATGCTCCACCTCGTAATTGTGACAAATTAGAAACTAACTTCAACTTCAGGCAACTAGGTCTGCAACTGCTTCACTGAGTGCATTCTTCATCATACCTATACAGTAACAACAACAAAAACGGTAAAAACAACGTTAGCAAACTAGCAAAAGAGAATGATAGTGATTTCAGCTGGCGAAAAAACATTTTCGCAACCGACTTCTAAGAGTGCGCTCGATTGATCATATTCCGGAATAAGAATAAGCAAACGTTTTGTTACAAACCTCTTCTATACTGTAATTTGTGGACCATATAAACTTTATATAGACAGAATACGTTATTTAAATCATGTCTGTAGATACTGCAATGGAATCAAACTTAAAACAAGTGATTTCTAGCGAGTTTATTCTATTTATTCTTATTTGGGACGCGAAATACGGTGAATCAAATTACGCCCTAAATCTGTTAGAGCAAAGGGTCACAAATAAACTGCATGGTAACTTCAACCAACGACTAGACTTACAGATTTAAATTTCAAATATATCCCAAAATACCTTGCTATTCAATCGATGCTTTCAAACTCAAGCGTTACGTCATCACCAATGAGAACAAAAGGCGCCCAGTACTTCACTGCACTAAAGCGGTCAGATTCTCTCATGGATTTCATGGCTTTATTCAGGGCCTCACTGGCACTTCGTCCATGAACTAAGTGTTGGTAGAAAACTTTCATGAACTCCATAGTAGCTTCGTCGTCGATCGCCCACAGGGACACCAGAACAGAACGAGCACCAGCACCCAAAAAGGCCCGTGCGATGCCGACCACACCCTCAGCTTTGACTTCTCCCCGAGCGCTATGACAACAGCTAAGTACAACAAGTCTTGCCCTAATCTGCGCCTTGAAAACATCTTTTATAGTTAAGAGATAGTCCTCCCTGGTTGGATTCACAGATGATGAACGTGTTGTGTTAGGAGCCAAGGCAATTTCTCCTGTTTCCATTTTACCGTGAGCAGCAATGTGTACCAAAGCAACCGAGGAGATACGTCTCAAAACTTCATCTTTTGTTGCCTGCTTTCCAACGAGTGGTACAGTTCGAACTATTTGCCCAATCATCTGCACTTCTTTTTCGGCCCACTCTAACTGCTTTAGCGTTCTTCCTTGATAAACTACCTCCTGTACCCAAGGATCGCCGACGAGGAGAGCGCCAGTCTTGCTGTGCCAATCTGCTGGACTATTTTGGATTAATCGAAGAAAGTGAAGGAAGGAGACGAATTCTAGAAAGTGAAGGAAGGAGACGAATTCTGAAAGTTTCACAGAGGTACTTTGATTTCAAGTCCATGAAAGCAGCAAACGGCGCCAAACACAGAGGTCCTTGTGGAACGACCACAACCTCATCGCCTTGGAGTAAGTCTCTTATAGGGTCTATAACAACATTGTAAAATGTTTGTAATGACTTTGTCTCAAAACATGAAGGATGAGACTTCGGCTTAATGGATCCTTCTTCTACTAACTCTTTATCGTCTGGGTTCCTTAACGAGCGATCTTCACAATTAACATCAGCTCTCACACCTATTTCTTTATGTGTAGTTTCCAAAAGAGACTGAAAATAGCTTGTGACGGATATATCAATCAGAGTTTTTCTAGTTTTGATTTCTTTTCCTGTCACGCTCACCCAGAGAACTATTGCTCCCTCGTTGATGCCTATGAAAGCTGTATTTGATGGTAAGTAACTAGGAAATGCAGAAAGTGTTCCAATCTCTGGGCCTGGCCCTTTAAGGCCATACATGAACTCCAGAAGATCATTTAAAGCTTGTGCACGTCCTTGATCAGCAGTTAAAAGTGACTCGATGACTTTGCCGTCCTTAAACTGCAGCTTCCATAGCCTCAAATTAATATGATCATACGTATTCCCAAGGGTAATCTTCCATTCGTCATTAGATATGAGATTTCCCCTGATGTGGTCGAAGGCTATAAGACTCTTCTTACAATACTCTATTGCTTTGTGGAAATCTCCGAGACTGTCATAGGCGTTGCCAAGATTACCATACGCTCTTCCTTCTCCTGCCCTGTCTCCCACTTCTTTCGAAATTTTGAGGTCTCCTTGATGGTACTCTATGGCTTTCTGGAAATCTCCGAGACTGTAATAGGCGTTGCCAAGATTACCGTGCGCTTTTCCTTCTCCTGCCCTGTCTCCCACTTCTTTCGAAATTTTGAGGTCTTGTTCATGGTACTCTATGGCTTTCTGGAAATCTCCAAGATTTATAAAGTTGTTGCCAAGATTACCGTACGCTCTTCCTTCTCCTGCCCTGTTTCCCACTTCTTTCGAAATTTTAAGGTCTCGTTCATGGTACTCTATGGCTTTCTGGAAATCTCCAAGTTTTCTAAAGGCGTTGCCCAGATTACATAGCGCTCTTCTTTTTCCTGCCCTGTCTCCCACTTCTTTCGAAATTTTGAGGTCTCGTTTATAGTACTCTATGGCTTTCCGGAAATCTCCCAGGTTTCTAAAGTCAATACCAAGACTACCGTAGGATCTTCCTTCTCCTGCCCTGTCTCCAACTTCTTTCGAAATTTTGAGGCATCGTTCATGGTACTCTATGGCTTTCTGGAAATCTCCGAGATTTCTAAAGGTGTTGCCAAGATTACCGTACGCTCTTCCTTCTCCTGCCCTGTCTCCTACTTCTTTCGAAATTTTGAGGCATCGTTCATGGTACTCTATGGCTTTCTGGAAATCTCCGAGACTGTCATAGGCGTTGCCAAGATTACAGTACGCTTTTCCTTCTCCTGCCCTGTCTCCCACTTCTTTCGAAATTTTGAGGTCTCGTTCATGATATTCTTTTCCTTTCTGAAAATCTCCACGACTGTGATAGGCGTTGCCAAGATTACAGTACGCTTTTCCTTCTCCTACCCTGTCTTCAACTTCTTTTGAAATTTTGAGGTGTCGTTCATGGTACTCTATGGCTTTCTGGAAATCTCCGAGACTGTCATAGGCGTTGCCAAGATTACCATACGCTCTTCCTTCTCCTGCCCTGTCTCCCACTTCTTTCGAAATTTTGAGGTCTTGTTCATGGTACTCTTTGGCTTTCTGAAAATCTCCAAGACTGTGATAGGCGTTACCAAGATTACAGTACGCTCTTCCTTCTCCTGCCCTGTCTCCAACTTCTTTCGAAATTTTGAGGTCTCGTTCATGGTACTCTATGGCTTTCTGGAAATCTCCAAGATTTCTAAAGGCGTTGCCAAGATTACAGGACGCTTGTCCTTCTCCCGCCCTGTCTCCCAGTTCTTTCGAAATTTTGAGGTCTTGTTCATGGTACTCCTTGGCTTTCTGAAAATCTCCAAGACTGTGATAGGCGTTGCTAAGATTAGAGTAAGCTCTTCCTTCTCCTGTCCTGTCTCCCACTTCTTTCGAAATTTTGAGGTGTCGTTCATGGCACTCTATGGCTTTCTGCAAATCCCCAAGACTGTGATAGGCGTTTCCAAGATTACAGTACGCTCTTCCTTTTCTTGCCCTATCTCCTACTTCTCTGGATATTATGAGGTCTCGTTCATGACGCACTAAAGCGTTTTGGAAATCTTTGGCGTCGCCAATATGACTATGCCCTTTTTCTTCCTCTCTTCTCTCTCCAACTTTATTGGCAATCTTGTTGGTGTTTTCTTTAAGATTACAATTCGCGTCTGTTTTACCTTTCTCAGCCATTCCAATTACAAATTGCAGATAAGATCTACCGCTTTTCCAGAAGATAGTTGTTGCTGTCAGGCTGGCTTTGCTATTTCAGCTCTTCTGCAAAAAAGTATAGATATATTGTGTTTTTTCCGTTGATACTATTTCTCTTTATGTACGACAACGTATGATAACGAGGATGAAAAATAGCTAAAAGTAAAATTAAGACCTAGAGTAAAAGCTTTCTTAGTATTAGCTCCTGTATTATTTGATTTTTTCTCTCGCAGTCGCATTTGGTTTGCCACAAATAGTGATCCTTCTGCGTGTTTTTTAGTGTTGTGTAATATGAAAAAAAATTGTTTAGAATTATCCAAATTAAAAGCTAAAAACAGATTTACCATTGTTTAAACATCTACTCATTGTACATTTATCAACTGATAAAGTTATTTTAAGCTTGTGGATTTTAAGAATTTTATAATGGTTCATATAAAATAGGAATCGCGTGATTTCGAAAACCTCCCTCCGAGGATTTCCAATGATTTTCCGAAGCCTTCTAAAACTTTACCGAAAATTTCCGAAGATGTCCCGAGCACTAAAATAGACCACAACTTCAGCCTGTTTTGATTGCTTTAGGACACAAAGTCATTATTCAAAGCTTTTATGGAATATTTTTGTGAAAATTGAATTAAAGTTTCGTTATTAATCATGTATTAAATGACAGATTGTCTAGATTTGTGAATCAGGCGTGAGATATTGCCCTTTATGCGTGAGATTGATGTCTTTAGTCCGCAGGCGTGAGACTCCCGCGTAAAGCGTTTTCGGCGAGTTAGCGCTATCAGTGGAACACCAAAATAGCGCTAACTCGCCGAAAACGCTTCAAAACGGCCTGAGACGCGGGCAAAAAACAAAGAATACAACAAGGCAATAAGGTACGTCGATGTTATTTAAAAAAAATCCAATTTTTTCTCCCTTTTAAGAAAAACCGTTTACATCCCATACAAGCCTTTGTAAATAGCCGTTTGTAACACAACACTGCTCGCAAGCAAGAGTCACGTCCGCGTTCAAGCAATGAGTTTGGGCCGCCTGTGGTTCGATATGTTTGCTAGGCGTACAGGTAGCAGTTGAGGGGAAAGGGTGGATGGATCTTGCGATAGATAACTATGGTTATGGCATATTTTGGAAGTAAGGGTTGCGTACAGCGAAACCTCGATTTAAACTGCGTATGATAATGCCGGAATAGGTTTTGAAGGCAAGTGATCAGCGTGATATAGTATGGTTCGTCTCAAGTGATTGTTATTTGAGGAGACACTGACCAGAGTGCTTCGGGCGCGTAAAAAGAACTTTTTGTTTTACTGGCGCAGTAGATGTTCTACTGGGCGCAGTTGTTCGAAGGCCAGCGCTTAACCCGGGTTTCTTTTTCTTTTGTTAAAATACATTTCTTTGGATAATTTTCTCAGTTATTTTTAAGAGCGTCCACACGGCGCTTTCGGAGCGGAATTTAAGTTTTTTCAGAGCCCGCGGTAAGCGCCCAGCGTTATCTGATATGATAATGAAATTCAACCTAGCAACGCCTTGCAACGGATTTGTTGGCTGCAACGGATGGAGTGGGGTCTTTGTTTTAAGGTGGCTCCCTAGAGTAAATTGGCCGTGCGCGGCCTGAGCACTAGTATGGCGCAAGCTTTGAAATCCGCGCGACGTCCACGCAGAAATAAAGCAAACATGGCCTCTCAGTCTCAAGGTATTCACCCCCAAAAACTTTATTAACTTTCTGTTGAAGCTCATCGTCCAAAAAGTTTGGTTAGTGTAGGTCAAACATTTATGAGAGGAGACAATGTTAAATTACACCGGTTACAAGTCACTATCGATCTCCATAAGAGTAAATTGTATGTAAAAACGAAGCAGAAAATTCTTTCGCTTCAAAAGTAGACAGACGTAAAATAGTCGAAGTAAATGGTAAATGGAAACTTTACAAATAAAACAAAGAAATAAGTACACTAACCCGAAAGGAAGCACGGTTCACGGTCGGTGGAAAGATCTGAAAGATCGAGCCAAATCCCGAAGAACCACTGAAGAATGTCTTCACCGGAGGCGCTCCTCGGTCACTTCATTTCTCTTACATTTGATTTGATTAAGAAATTCTAAAAGTGGCTTTAAGGCAAGATTACAGCAAGTGTAATTTTGTTTTGCCGACTCTATCACATTGTTTAAAAAACTTATCAGAAGAAAGGTTTCCTACTTAACTTGAATCCTGATCGAAGGAACCTTCCCATCGACGAACCAACATCCTTGTCCTTTTTCCTTTCCAAAAGTTCTTTAACGCACAAGGTGCACTAGAAAATGTTGTTGCACAATGAAAAATAATTCTTGAGTCACAGATTGACCCTTGACGAAAGCAATAGTAGGTTATCCGTCGAGAACTACGGTCTTGTATGTGCAGCTGAGGACGTGATGTACCTTTTTTAGATCGGCGCCATCTTTTACAACAGGCTTTTAAATAAAAACTTCGCCGTCGAAATTATCCCTAAAGAGGACAAGGTTGAAAAAGTATCCGGAAGTGGGCTGGCATTTGAAGATCTGCAAACAGTCGTTACAGCAGATTAGGAAATGAAGGCCTTATCGTGATCCTTGCAAAGCCACTGTCTTCATCTCCGATGATTGCCATCCGCACGAGTAGTGACCACCACGGCTCGAATTTTGGCTACAATGGTTAAGTATTCGAAGAAAACATCCAGTGTTTGGTATAAAATTGAATCCGCTATCTCTCCTTTTTCAACAGCCGAGATATCGCCGTGATAATACTGATAAACAGCTTTAACAATGGCTTTTGTACTTTTCGAAGAAATCACATGTTTTCAGCTATGTGCGTTATGCGCATGCGAGCGTGATGGCTCGCGCGCGGGCAGGGCAGAAAAACCGCTGATTGGTTGCCGTTTTCGCGGCAGTTTGTGCTCTCCGCTGACCATCTTACAACGAATCAAGTAGTCTACAAAAGAGAGCAAAGTTTGAAGCCAAATACATAGTTAACCATGACTAGTTCGGTGATTATGATCTGATATCCCCAAACTAGAACTCATTGACAGGCGATGTCAAGAGTTGTAGCGAAATCAGATTAGGAATACACTTTAGGGTGCTTGCTGAAAATGCGCGGGACAGTGTGTAGTTCATAGAGACATCATACGACCAATAGCTCTTAAACAATTTGCAAAAATAAGAAACAGGTGGAGTATTTAAGGTTCACAATTCGACCAACCAAAAGGCCAAAAGCCAAGAAGTAAAATAAGAAATACGTAAAAAAATCGAACAGTACGTTTTTCTGTGGCTTGCTGTTTTTTGTTTTTGCATCCCCCTCGCGGTGACAACACTCGAACGTAATCGCCGGTGAGAAGCTTCCACAAATGTACAGCCAATCTTACCTCTAAAAGGACCGATCCTCTTGCACTTAGAAGGTAGATAGCAGCGCAAAAATCTATTTCCTTGGACAAGTAAAAAAAGGAAAAGATTTGTAAACATCAAACTCTTCGCCTACGGCTTGTGTCCACTTACTGACTGGTAGGCGCCAGCTTCCCGACCTCATGCTTTGCGCGCGAAATTATGAATGAAACTGGAGACGCCGCTCGTTTTTTCCCGCTTCAAAAAGCTTCAAAAATGTCCAAAAATAGTTACCGACCGCTTCACTGTCAAGTTCCGGTCTTTTTGCGTGCGTTTCCGGCGGAAAGAACGTCCAAAGTTGATTAAATAATGGAAAATGTTTGTGAACGTGGCTCCAGATTAAGAAGCGTGTCAGAAAAGTGTTGGGGTGCCACTAATTACTATTCGGGAAAAGAGGCTGTTTCACGTGGCTACTCTAGGCCGGTTTGGCTATGTTTTGGTCATGCAAAAAAATTGCAAGTGGAAAGTCAAAGGAGGTGCTGTTTTCCGAGTGAAAATGCCTGCACGCAAAGGAACAATTTACTGCCATGTTCGCAGAGGATTCTCACCGTGGCAACAAACCTTGAAAACTACCAAGGAGGCGCATTTCTTTGCCCAGGCCACCTAAATCTCGTGGACGAAGCTCCCATATTTACCAACCACGCTCTCTACAAACCCCCTACTACGAGACAGGTATGTTTCTTTTACACTCAAACAACAGTCAAAATGTACAGAAACAGATCACACATTCTTAGTTTTGTTTTAGAAAATATTCATATTTTGCATTAAATTTTGCCCTATACATTTGTAGACAAAATGTACTACTTCAGTCCTATGTACTACCCCAGAAAAGAAAATAACTTGGAGGGATGGAACCTCTCAGACCGCCCCTTTGCAGAGTGTTAATGAGCTAGCAGAGGCAAAACAATTAATCACCAAATTACAGCGCGAAAATGCAGCATTAAAAGAAAGATGCAACAAGCTAGAAGGTATTGTATTGACGTACTCTTAATTTCCACACATTCAAAACAAAGACGACTAGTTTCAACCTTTAATAGAAATATTTTTTTATTAATTTTCAGAGCCAACTTTTGATGAGCAGTTCAAAACGTTCCACAAGTGTCTCACTAAACATTACAAGGATTGAGGGCAGCAGCTATACGACCCTGCAGACATGGAAAAATTTGCCAACAAGTGCACCCCTGGATTGTTCAACCGTGCCTTGTGTCTAGTCAAGAATGATGAAAAACAACAGCTTTCTAAGAAAAGACATGAAATACTGAGACTGCGAGTTGTGGCACTGCTTCATCAGCTGTCTTACTTTAGAAACCAAGTGTGTATAATAATAATAAAAAATAAAATAAATAATAATACTAATAATTATAATGGTAATGATAATGATAATAATAATAATAGTAATAATAATAATAATAATACTAATAATAATAATAATAATAGCAGGAACCATACTTTAGGAAGACACTTAAATTAAATTAAACACTATGGTGTGTAATAGACATAAGTGTTGCTTGTTTGTTTTCAACAGAAAAACAATCCCTTACAACAAGACTGTGGGTTGCACTTGTCCTTTCATG